GATGGGGTTTCACTGTGTTGCCCAGGCTGGTCTTGAACTCCTAACCTTGTGATCCACCTGCCTCACCTCCCAAAGTGCTGGAATTACAGGCGTGAGCCACCGCACTCAGCTGCAAAAAAGGATTTTAATAAATCAGATGGCCAGGTTAACAATTATGAATGAAAGAAATACATATTTTTATGTCAGTGAGTTTGTTATTTTAGATTACTCTATAAATAAGGTTTTTTGAGGTGGGGGAGGATCTGTTGAGGTCAGGAGGTTGAGACCAACCTGGGCAACATAGCAAGTCCTGGTCTCTACAAAAACATTTTTAACAAGTTGCCAGGTGTGGTAGCAGTGTCAGTAGCCCTAGATGCTCAGGAGGCTGAAGCAGGAGGATGACTTAGGCCTAGGAGATCAAGGCTACAGTGAACTATGATCGTGCCACCATACTCCAGCCTGGGTGACACAGCAAGGCCTTGTCTCAAAAAAAAAAAAAATAGAAAAAAAAAAAAAAGAAAAAAAAAAAGGAAGGAAGGAAAAAGAAAGAAAAAAGTTTTAATGTCCTAATGACACGGCAAGGTGTTGTTTCAAAAAAAAAGAGAGAGAGAGGGAAGGAAAGAAGGAGGGAAGAAGGGAGGGAGGGAGGAAAGGAGGAAGGAAGGAAAGAGGGAGGGAGGGAAGGAGAGAGGAAGGAGGGAAGGAGAGAGGGAGGAAGAAAGGGCAAAGAAGAGAGAGGGAGGGAGGGAGGGAAGGAAGGAAGGAAGGAAGGAAGGAAGGAAGGAAGGAAGGAAGGAAGGAACGAACGAACGAACGAACGAAAGGAGGGGAGGACGGAGGGAGGGAGGGAGGAAGGAGTTTGAATGTCCTGATGCCCAGAAATTAGCGTGTCTGAGGGAGGGGGCCGGACATCACAGTTTTCTAAAGCTCCCCAGGTGATTCCAATACATGTCAAACCTAAGAACAACTGCTGTATAGAAGTCACACTTAGAGTTTATATACTAGCATCTTGTTCTAAATGTTTCCTAGTATAATATATCTTTCCCCCGTTAATAGATTAGTGTTATATTTCTATAAGGTTTCCAACCACTCAACATGACCACATTTTGTAATGTACAGAATGCAAGAAAATCAACCTAAAATCATTAGAATGAATAAAAATTCTAAAAGGCAGTTGATTCAAAATAAATACACAGTATTAGCTTTCAATGTGTCAGAATAACCAATTCAAATATACCAGGGGAAACATTTCTATTCACAAAGAAATAAAAATAATAAACTATTAAGGAGTAAATATCTCAGGAATATTCAAGACTTCAGTAAAATTATGAAACTTTACATTAGTTCAAAAGAAAAGTTTTGAATAAATATGTCTTAATATTTTTCTGGGTGAGTAAGAGCCAATGTTTTAGAGATGTAAAAATTTTGAAAATATGTTCATTCTTCCCAAAGGAATCTTTTCTTAGTGTACTTCCAGTAATAATTCCATTTTGACTAGATGATTCTAAGAGTCACCTGAAAGAAATAATGAGTGAAATCAAAATATTTTTAAAAGAAAAATTATGAGTAAAGATTTTTCCCCCCAAACTGACACATCACACATAGGAATTCATATATAAAATTGCTGGATTAACATCAGCACCCTTTGACCTGGATTTCTTATTATGTTTATGCTTTACATTTTTTCCAGCTTTATTGAGGTATGATTAATGAATAAAACGTGTATGTACTTAATGTGGCAATGTGATTGATATACTTACACACTGAGAAATGATTATCACAACCAAGCTAATTAACATAGTCATCACCTTACTTAGTTACTATTTGTGTGTGTGTGTATGCATGTGTGTGTGTCTGTGTGTGTGGTGAGAACACTTAAGCAAACTCTCTTAGCAAACTTTAAGTATACAATACATTATCCTTAACTATATTTACAATGCTGTACATTCGATCTCTAAAATGTATTCATCTTAGAACTGAAATTCTGTTTCTATGAGTTCAATGTTTTTAGGTTCCATATGTAAGTGATATGATGCAGTATTTGTGTTTCTGTGACTGGCTTATTTCACCTGCTATAAGGTCCTTCTGTTTGATTCATGTTGTCACAAATACCAGAATTTCTTATTTCTTAAGGTTGAATAATCTTCCATGATAAAGATATATCACATTTTCTTTATTCATTCATCTACTTATGGACACTTAGGTGTCCATTGTGTCTTTTGCCTATTGTGAATATTGCTGCAATGAATATGGAAGTGCAAATATGTCTGAGATACTGATTTCAATTCCTTTAGATATATACTAAGTGGTGGGGTTGCTAAATCATATAGTAAATTTATTTTAAACTTTTTGAGGAACAACCATACTGTTTTCCATAATGGCTGTACCAATTTACTTTCCTACCAAGTGTGTACAAGACTTTTTATTTCTCCACTTCATCATCAACACTTGTTAACTTGTGACTTTGACAACAGCCTTCCTAACAGGTGTGATATAATATCTCATTGTGGTTTTCATTTGGATTTCCCTAAGGATGAATGATGTTGAGGACCTTTTCATTCCTGTTGGACACTTGTATATCTTCTTTAGAAAAATGTCTATTCCAGTCCTTTGGCTGTTTTTTAATCAGGTTATTTGTTTTTTCTGTATTGAGTTGTAAAAGTTCCTTCTGTATTTTGGATATATGTTTTGTAAATATTTTCTCCCTTAGGTTGTCTTTTCTTTGGTTGATTGTTTCTTTTGTTGTGCATAAACTTTTTAATTTAATTTGGTTGTACTTGTTTATATTTGCTTTTATTGCCTGTCCTTTTGGTGTCATATCCAAAAAATTATTGCCAAGTCCATTGTCAAGTAGATGTCCCGCAGCCAAACCTCGTTTTTCTTCTATTAGTTTTACAGCTTGAAGTCTTAAGTTTGTCTTTAATTTATTTTGAGTTAGTTTTGTATATGGTATCAGATAAGGATTGAATTTCATTCTTTAATATATGGATATCCAGTTTTCCCAACATGATTTATTGAAAGACTATCCTTTCCTCATTGGGTATTTTTAGTACCTTTGTCAAAGATCTGTTGATTATACATGCATGGGTTTATTTCTAGGCTCCATATTCTCTGTGTTGATGTTTCTGTTTTGATGCAAGTACTATACTGTTTTGATTACTGTATCTTTGTCTTTGTATTATAATTTGAAATCAGGAACCGCGATGCTGACAGTTTTGCTCTTTCTCAAGATTGATTTAGCCATTTAAGGTCTTTTTTGGTTCTATACGATTTTTCCCCCATTTATGTGAAGAATGTCATTGGAATTTTGGTAAACATTGGATTGAATCTGTAGATCACTTTGTAGTATGAACAGTGTTAATTCTCCCAAATTCCATTTATTTGTGTCTTTTTTCAATGTCTTTTATCATTGTTTTATAGTTTTTCAGTGTACTCACCTTTCATTTTCTTGGTTAAATTTACTCACAAGTATCTAATTTTTATAGCTATTGTATATGGGATTTATTAAAATTTATTATTCTGATACATCATTGTTAGTATATAGAAATGCTACTAATTTTTATAGGTTAATTTTATATCCTGTAACTTTACTGTATTTGGGTATTAGTTCTGACAGTTCTTTGGTGAAGTCTTTGAGGTTTTTTAATACATAGTATTATGACATCTGCAGAGATAATTTAACGTCTTCCTTTTCTATTTAGATGACTTTTATTTCTTTCTGTTTCCTAATTGCTCTGGCTATTGATAGAAGTGGTAAGAGAAGGCATCCTTGTCTTGTTCCAGTTTTAGAGGAAATGCTTCCAGCTTTTCACCTGTATGTTTACTGTAGGCTTGTTAAATATGACCTTTATTGTGTTGGGGTACATTCCTTCTATACCTAATCAGTTGATGTTAATCTCAACAAAAGATGATATGTGTCAAATGCTTTTTCTGCATCTATTGAGATGATCATAAATTTTATCCTTTATTCTGTTAATGTGGTGTGTCATATTTATTGATTTACTTATGTTAAATTATCCTTGCATCCAAGAGATAAATCCCACTTGAGCATGGTACATAATCCTTTTCATGCACTGCTGAATTTGGTTCGCTAGTATAGAGGATTTTTGCATCTATGTTTATCAGGGATATTGCCCTGTAATTTTATTTCTTATAGTGTCCTTGTCTAGCTTTGGTATCAGGATAATGGTGGCCTTGTAAAATGAATTTGAAAGCATTCCCTCCTCTTCAACTTTTTGCAAGAGTTTGAGTAGAATTGGTATTAATTCTTCAAGTGTTTGAAAAAATTCAACAGTGAAGCCACCAGGTTTGGGTTTCTCTTTGTAGGAAGATTTTTGATTATCGATTTAATTTCCTTTCTCATTTCCCTCTGTTCACATTTTCTATTTCTTCATAGTTCAGTCTTGGTAGGTTGTAGGTTTCTAGCATTTATCTATTCTTTCTAGGTTATACAGTTTGTCAGTGTTTAATTATTCATATTAGTTTCTTATAATCTTGTATTTCTGTATTTTTGTATCTATTATTTTATTCATTTCATTTGAATCTTCTCTCTTTTTTCCTTAGTTAGGCCAAATAATGTTTCCTTAATTTTGTTTATCTTTTCAGAAAGCCAACTTTTGATCTTTTATATTGTTTATCTTACCTCTATTTCATTTATTTTTGCTCTGGTCTCAGCCCTTTCTCTCTTTCTTTCTCTCTCTCTCTCTCCCTTCCTTCCTTCCTTCTTTCTTCCTACTAACTTTGGGGTTATTTTGTTTTTCTTTTTCTAGTTGTTTTATAATTACAATTGTTATATTCTGTTGATAAATTAACCCCTTCATCATTATATAATGATGTATTAGAAAGTATTTGCCTGCACTGTGGGTGCATGGGCCATATCTTTAAGACTGGAAAATTACCCAGACATTCCAAGCTACACAAAAACACCTTAACAAAACCTTAAAACTCAACCTGATTTAAAACTTTTGATATTACTGTATACATAAAGGAAATGTAAAATTTTGCTTTATTTGAATGGTAATTACATTTTAAATCTTGAAATCAAGCCATAACTAAACCAAATATTTGGTAAATACTTTGGGAATGTCCAGAATATTTTGTCTCAGTACTTATACTGTTCTACTAAAGATAAATCTAAATCTAGCATAAATTATATTTTTTCTAGCTTCTGGAAGGGGTTATTAAACTTACCTTTTATATTAAAAAAATTTTTGTGGGGAGATCATGAGACCATTAGAAATTGTCTTAACATACACAGATATCACAAATTTGAGATGGCTCAAATATGAAATATAAAATATAAAGATCTGTATCCGTAAGAGGCAAGGGTGATATCTTTTAATGGTAGACAGTGGATGGATTTACACTGAAATTTTTGGGCTGGGCACAGTGGCTCATGACTGTAATCACAACACTTTGAAAGGTGGGAAGATTGTTTGAACTGAGGAGTTTGAAACCAGTCTGGACAACATGATGAAACACCATCTCTACAAAAGAAATTTTTTAAAAAATTAGGCAGGTGTGGTGGTGCATGCCTGTAGTTCCAGCTGCTTGGGAGGCTGAGGTGGAAGGATTGCTTGAACCTGGGAGGCAGAGATTGCAGTGAATGAAGAGCATGGCACTGCACCCCAGCCTAGGTGACAGAGGAAGAGCCTGTCAAGAAAAGAAAAGAGAAGAAAGAAGAGAAAGAAAGAAAAAGAAAGAAAGAGAAAAAGAAAGAAAGAAAGAGAAAAGGGAGAGAAGAAGAAAGAAAGAGAGAAAAAGAAATTTTTGAATTTAGTATGGTAAGTTTTCTTCATTAAATTCATATAATTTCTTCTATAGTATATACTGTTAAAATGCTCTTTTAATAATCAATATTAATTAAATATAATTATGCATTAGCAACTTCATTTAGAAATTGAAACAAAACACAAATGCACATGAAAAGATCAATTCTTTTCAGAAAGAATAGAGTACAATCCTGATTTTTCAATAATTCAAAATCTTGCCAATATAGAGTTTTATTATAAGTCCTGATTATTATTATGCTTAGTTTGTATTAAATAAGGTAGTAAGAATAGTGACAATCTCTTTGCCTTAGCACTATCAATTTGAGATATGTATGAAGTAAGAATTATAAGAGACTAGAAGAAAAAGGAAGGTTCTTAAAAGATAATCCCTCTTACACACAGTTTTACCTGTTACCCCAATAAAAATGTTAAATGGAAAATCCTAGCAATAAACAATTCATAAGTTAAATTGCCTGCCATTCTGAGTAGTGTGATGAAATTTGGGTCATCCTGTTCTGTTCCACTTGGAAAATAAATCACCCCTTTGTTCAGCATATTCAGTCTGCATATTTCACAAGCCTATTGGTAATTAGTGGTTTTTCTGATTATCAGATCAATCATGATTGCATCACAGTGTTTGCATTCAAGTAACCTTTACTTTATTTAATGATGCCCCAAAGAATATTGATGCTGGCATGTTGTCATAATTGTTCTTCATTATTAGTATTGTTAACTGTGCTTTATTTATAAATTAAACTTTATCATAAGTATGTATGCATAGGGAAAAAAAAAAACCCAGCATACATAGAGTTCTGTACTACTCGTGGTTTCAGGCACTCACTACTGTGGGTCTTAGAACATATCCTCCATTGGCTGGGCTTGTTGGCTCATGCCTGTAATCTCAGCACTTTGGGAGGCCAAGGCGGGCAGATCACTTGAGGTCAGGAGTTCAAGACCAGCCTGGCCACATGATGAAACCCTGTCTCTACTAAAAATATAAAAATTAACCAAGTGTGGTGGTGCACACCTGTAATCCTAACTACTTGGGAGACTGAGGCAAGAGAATCGCTTGAACACAGGAGGTGGAGGTTGCAGTGAGCTGAGATCTCACCACTGTACTCTAGCCTGGGCAACAGAGAGACTTCATCTGAAAAAAATATATATCCTTTACAGATAAGGGGAAAATACTCTACTTTAATGATCCATTAATGTAAAACCATTTTCTCTTTTTAAAGCTTAAGTGTGTGTGTGTGTGTGTGTGTGTGTGTGTGTCTTTGTTCTCTGACCTTCTCCTCCACAGCCTTCTTAGGTCTCATCGCTCTACTTCTTTGTTCTCTACACAATGGTCAGCTTTTGGGACTAGAACGACATGTCCCACCCACCTTGGCATGCCCTGAAGTGCCTAGCATCACATTCTGCATATACTAAAATGTGTGTCTGTATGTGTGGAATAGACAACCAAATGTGATGGTTTCCCTCATGTCCATTTTATGTCCCCAGGAGTATAATATACTTCTATATCTAGACTATAAGTCCTGTATCTGTATAGGGATTATTAGTTTTTCAAAGAATTTTCATAATTATGCTCTCATTTTCATAACAATGATATGAAATAACAAGAGCAGTGTTATTACACGGTAGGAAACTGAAGCATAAACCTTTAGATACTATTACATGATTTGTCTTACTTCACAAAAACCGACAGATCTTAGGCTAAAATACATATTCTCTCCTTTTGGTCCAAGTTTGCTTCTCTTAAATACACTTGAAATGCCTTTCATAATAGTGAAAATTAAGAATTTTCTTTGCAAAAAGGAAAAAATGAAAGATCAACCAGCTTTTAAAAAATTCATTGTGACTCAACCTTAATTGACTTAAACTTTGGTTAAGCAGGAAATAACTGCAAACCCATTTGAACAAGTCATCAGTGTTCAAAATATTCAACACATATTTGATGAGTGCTGAACACTTTGCTAGACAAAGTGATAAAGTGGTAAATGTAACTGAAACCCCATACAGGAAGACTCCCTGCCATTTGCTCGTCATTGATTTAGTGTAACTACGTATAGCGCTACCTTACTAAAAAATACTATTTTCGTCACTTGCCTTTGCTTGGCTGCATGGCAACTAAATGACCAGAGTAATGCCAACCATGTCGATTCTTCCAGGGGCCTGTGACATCACGCTGTTGGAGGAGTTCAGTGCTAATAGATTTGGCTCATGGTTTCAGTTGTTTGATTTCAGTCTGGAAAAAACACAGTACAGCATAGCAAAAATAAACAATTACCAAGGTTCTGGGACACATACTAGAAATAAAGGATTTATTTTATGTTTTCATATTTTTTTCTACTGTTTTATGCCTAACCAAAATAAAATGTGCATTTCTTAAATCACAGATCCCAAGGCCAAAATAATGGTCAAGTACAGCAAAGGAAGCAGGAGAAAAAGGAGAAAGCCTGAAATATATCAAAGTAAAAATGAAGCTAAGTGAGATGTATATAGGTATTGCTTACTAAACAACAACATAATAGGATATCTTAAAAACAACAAAAAAGAAAATACAAAAAAAATCCCCACACACAAAACAAACAAACAAAAAATAATAGCATTACTTAGAGTAGGACGCTCTGAGGTTTTTGAACAACACCATTTTTTGTAGAAGGAAGAGATAAACCTCCAGTTCTGATTAGACTTCATAAAGAATGGGCTGGATCAGAAAGGATGTAATAAGTGGCCTTGTAGCAGGTAGATGTGATTGTATGACTAATCATAGCAAGAGCTGTTTTTTAAAATCCACGCCTGCAAGCCCCACACTTGTTTTCAGGAAGACAGAGAACCTCTGGACAAAGTGAGGCTGTAGTAGCGGCAGGTGCCTTATACATGAAGGCCGAGCTGCCACATTGCTCCCTGGAAATTCACGAACAATACTACCTAAATTTCTTATTCCCAAAATAGAAATAGGGGGTCCAAGGACAGTTCCTCTTCTAACACTGTGCTCTAACTATTTTAACCTAAGTCTCTTCAAATCAGTTGCTATAATTGTCATCTTGAAACAGGACATGCATTTCTTGCTATATATAGATAGAAGGAATGTGTATTTGGATATCAGTGTCACTTTCCTTGGAACAACAGTAGTATTCAACTAGTCCTTCACTGTTAAATCTTACCCCTCCCTGAAACTCACCCTTACCAGACAAAACCAGAGACACTGTTAGAAAAGCTAGGACTCATTTTATTTCCCCTTTGACAAAATCCACAGGAAAGCCAACTTCCAAAAGAGGCAAATGTGGAGCATTATTACTAATGCTAGTAATAAATTACTAGCATTATGCATGGATCATTCTTTCAAATATATGAGTTGCTCAAAGTGTGTTTTATTGTGTGTGTATAAATGACTAACTACTTGAGGAATAGGCGTCATTAAAATAGTGGTGCTGTGGTCACTGTATCATCATCATCATCATCACCATCACTCCCGTACTACAGATAAATAATCTCAAAAATGTAAATAGTGCATCTACAGAAACAGTAAGTAGCAAAGCAATACTTGTTCACAGGACTGTCTTCAGTAACATGCTCTCATTTATTTTACCACATGGTCTTTTTTTTTTTTTTTGGCTGTTCTATCATTTTATGCATTAAACGTTTTATGGCATAGGTAGATCTGTAATAACTATTATATAAATGGATAAAACAGGCATACATTAATTGGTTTAAGAGCAGAAAAGTCACTGCAATATGTCAAGCCACATTTTAAAGTGTTGGGTTCACATTTTCCCATATATTTGCATTGTACTCTAAAGCTTTATGTGAATTTTCAATGTAAGTAAAAAAAGTTGTATAAAATTAAAGTGTCTCACAATGCTTGTTGCTTTTTACAAGAATTCTGTATTGAACAATTCCAAATTAGATTAATAATGTTAAAATGTAGATAATGTATACAATGATCTAACTTTATCCTTGACTATTGCAATACACAGTTAATAGTGGTTTAAACATAAAATATTTCTCAGTTTGCTTTGAAGATGATTGAAACGCACCTTCTTTTATCACAGTTAAAGAGGAGTTTGGACCTCTCATTTCACATTTATGGTTTCTCAAGTTTTAAAATAAATCTGGCAAATTCACTACAATCCACATATTTATATTCATTAATGCTGAGTACAGAGAAAATATCAGAGATGAGAAGAAAAACAAAAGCACATAGTGCTCCTGGTAGCCGAAGAAGTAGACAGTTTCAGGAAAAATGGAAGAATCACTGGCAGCAAATCCAACGAGGATCTGTAAAATAAGAAATGAAAATGAATATAAAATATGAAATGAGTTTATAACATGAATCAGAAAGAGGTCACTGAGACCCACAAGAAGAGTTATTTTAGTGGGGTGAAGGGGATAGAGGCCAGATGGCTTTGTGAGTGCTGACAGTGACCTGGGTTAATTCAAGCCTAGCTATGTCAAAACAAATTTACTGGAAAATCAGTAACACAATAAGCTTAACTGGCTTTAAAAAGAAAAGAAAGAAAGAAAGAAAGCAAACAACCTTCCTCAATTAAAATCCTGATTTTTTTGCTTGTTTTATTAAAACATTTGCTACTAACTTTTTTAGACTATATGTGCTCAATAACTTGACCTAATGATTCTTGATCAGATTAGATGACACTGACTGCCCTATCTCCAACTGTATATTAGACTAGCAATTATTAAACAAAAATCAAAGACAGCAAATTAGTATGACAAGAAGATTGTATTTAATGAAATTTGACCTGAATCTTAATAGTGTGTATTAAAATATGTCAAAAGTGGATTAGGGTCTGCCAAAGCAAACACTTACAGATTTGTCTCTTGAACAAACATCTTTAAAATACGTGTTAATTCTAAGCGGTTTTGTTTTGTTCTATCAGTAGGAACACTCCCTGCAGCTGAATTGGCAGATCCTTTGTTTTCATAAGAGTTCTTTGAACCAATCAGGACACAGATTATCTTATTATACCTCTGTGGGCTTGCGTTTCTTTTGATGAGAGTCTAGAGAAGTCATGGGTAATACTTTACTGTGTGCCAGAGACAGCTTGTGTTTCAGTTGTACAAGGTCAGATCTTAATTTAACCACCAACTGGATACTTAATTTTAGATACACAGAGGAACACATTGGCTCCAGGGCACTTCCTCTGATTTAGGAAGGTAAGTCCCTGGATAAGAATGACAAGATGATCATTCCAAAAGGTGAGATTATGAAATATTTGATCTTTACCTCACCAACCAGCTTATTGAATATTGTTCAGTATTGGAAATATTTTAAGCAGATCGAAATGCAAATTGTAGTAGCTACTCATTACTTTCTTTCCGGTTGACCACCTATGGGCTTACCTGTCTAGGGCCTTTTAAATTAGAGAATAAAGCTAGAATTTCTTGTTTTATAGACCATCAATTAAATTGCATAATTACTAAGCATAAAAAATTATATCATGAGAAAAACAGATTGAGACTATCCTTATAGTCTCAATGTATTTACTATAGAATTCCCAGAAGGGTCTCAGCTGACCTCTTGGTTTCTGATTAAAAACAATTAAATAATTTTTGTGAATAAATACAGTAAATCTCTTTTAAGGCTTTTTCATCACTTGTTGAAAAAGATGAATGTTTTCTGGCCAGATTGAAAAACTTCTTTAAGTTAGTTAGATTAAAAAAAAATAAACTGAATAGAATTGAGAATTTACTCCTGAAAATTATATCAGAAAACCTAAAGGTTGGAAAGTCCTTAAAATTTATTGGATATCATCACTCATATTGTTCTTAAATGTGCAGTTAACTTCTAAGGAGCCACCTGTATCTCAAATAATTTGACTTTCATGAAGTAGAGCAGTGAGGTAGACAAGAAAAATCTTATCGCTGCTTTGTGCTGAGAGCATCAAATTATTGTGATAAAAATTATAATTTTACACTTCAGTTATGGTAATGGGAATATCTTATTTTCAAATAAAAATTTTCCTACAAGCTTTATATTTCCCCTGAAGTTGTTGGATGAATTTGCTAGGTGTTTGCTTAAACTTTTTGAGAAAACTTTTTCTCAGGCTTATGAATTTTTAGGTTACAAAGTAAGACGCTCTTTTCATTAAATTCCTTCAGAGTAGCTGAGTCATAGTTAGAGTATATTGGTTAAGCCTGTGTTGCCTCTATTGTCAGATGACTGGGCTATATCCCATTCTCCACTGCTCACTAGATATGTGGGTTTAGGTAAATTACCTAACTATTTTGTGCTTCAGTTTTCTCATCTGTAAAATGGGGGAGAATTATGTCGTAGACATTAAATGACATCCATTTAATGTACTTAATGTAATGCCTGTCACAGGTAAACACCCAATAGATGTTAGTTGTAATAATTATTAAACTCAATATGAAAATATTTATTAAAGAACTGCTATGTGCTTGACTGTGTGCTAAACCTGAAAGAGAAATTGGTATTATTTCTGGAGAAAAATCTAAAATACATTATTTAAAGGCAAAAAACTCCCTGAGGGCATGGTTCCCATATATTTGTATCTAGCCTTGTGCCTAGAACATAACAGACATTGAATATATATTTTTGCATGGACAAATAGGATCATCTGAGCATCCTTAGGAAAAAAATAATCGCTAAGGATTGGTGGGTTAATTCTTCTCCTTTGTCTTTTTGATTGGCAGAGCAGAAGAACATAGTATCATAGATACTGTGCATTTGTATTTTACCAAGGTATTTGACAATATTCCTTGATGATGGTCTTGTTATCAAAAAGGAGACATTAATACTAGGTGGTGGTGTCTTTAAGAGGATTTGTAGCTGGATAGACAGCTTTTCTGGGAGGCTGCTAAATAATAGATCGACGTCAACATAGAGGCTTCTGTCCTGTGCCAATTTCTTTTCAACATTTGTCTTTATCAGTGGAGCTTAAGGACATATAGAAGGCATGCTTATTAAGTCAGCAAATAAAACAATACTTGGAGAGATAGAAAATGCATTCAATTTTAGCAGAAGGAAATAAAGGCCAAATTGAAAAAAGATAAAATGTAATAAGAATAAATAGAGTCCTGCATAAAATTGCACAGAAAACGGTGTGGGGAAAACACACGATTTGTAGAATTCTTTAGATACTGGGGTCTAAATCAAGTATGTAACATGATAGCCTAAATATTATTAACTGAGCTTGAGCTAAATTAACAGATTTATAGTGTTCGAGAAAAGGGAAGTGGTCACATACACTTAAACTTGTGTTGGTCTGACTGTAGCTGTTGTGCTATATTCAGAGCCTGTGGTTCGGTGTCACTTTTAGAAAGCCATGGATAAACCAATGTGTTTACAGGAAAGCAATCAAGACGGTGCAGGAGGTGACACCATGTTATAGGAAGAGCAGTTGTACAGGCTTAGAAAGAGAAGGCTCAGTGGAGACCTGACAGCCTTCCTGGGGGATATTTAAAGGGCTCCTGTGTTGCAGAGGAACAATACTTTCTCAGTGTAGCTGTGAGAAAGAGAACTAGAAACTGTTAGAAGAGAATTAGAAACATTATCTTCAGATAATATTTTGAAGGGGTGGATTCAACTTCACTGGTTTTTCTAATTGTTAATGCTGGCTAGGCTGTGTGCAGTGGCTCATGCCTATAATCCCAGCACTTTCGGAGGCTGATGGGGGAAGATCACCTGAGGTCAGAAGTTCAAGACCAACCTGACCAACATGGTGAAACCCCGTCTCTACTAAAAATACAAAAATTAGCTGGGCATAGTGGCAGGTGCCTGTAATCCCAGCTACTCAGGAGGCTGGGTAGGAGAATCGCTTAAGCCTGGGAGGCAGATGTTGCAGTGAGCTGAGATTGCACCATTGCTTCCAGCCTGGGCGACAGAGGGAGACTCCGTCTAAAAAAATACCAAAAAACAAACAAACAAACAAAAAACCTGGCTAAAGGAGAAGCGCCATGGAGATAGCAAGCTCCCTGACACTTTGATGTTCAAGCTGAGGCTACCAATTACTTGCTGGGCAGGTTGTAAATAAGATTTACAGGTAGGGCTATACCTGATGAAATTTGGTGATTCTAGGGAAAAGGAGGGAGAAGAAAATAAAACGGGCGTGTCAGACTGACTGTTCAAGAGTGAGGAATGAAACTAAAACTTTTAAAAAATACTAGCATCCTACTTTTTCATTCCACAGGAGTTCAATCACAGAGTAATAACAGGCAATGTTTACTGACTATTTGTGACACACCAGACACAGTTAACCAGGCAGCTAATGCAGGCAGGTCAGGGTTTGAACAAAGATTCAACCATTACAATCAGCTGCTTCCAACAGAAGGAAATCAATGGCCTGTATATGATTTCAAACAAGATATGAAAAAATGCAGTGACTCATTATTATTTGAATCCATTTTGAAGGGGAAAACATTTGACTTGAGCACCAGACAGGATTGTTTGCCATGTTGAACAAAATACATTATGCCAGGAATGAATTTTTTAGAGAGAATATGTGTATATGTATATGAATATTTATATGTATATACATAAGAATAATGTTTTTTTAAATGCTCAACACTCCTAATCATTAGAAAAATGCAAATCAAAACCACCGTGAGATACCATCTCACACACCAGTCAGAATGGCTACTATGAAAAAGTCAAAAAATAACAGATGCTGGTGAAGTTATGGAGAAAAGGAAATGCTTATCCAATGCTGGTGGGAATGTAAATTAGTTCAGCCACTATGGAAAACAGTTTGGTGATTTCGCACATAACTTAAAGCAGAATTACCATTCGATCCAGCAATCGCATTATTGGATAGATACCCAAAGGAATATAAATCATTGTACCATAAACATACATGCACGCTTCACTGCAGCATTGCTCACAACAGCAAAGACATGGGATCAACCTAAATGCACAATGACAGTAGACTGGATAAAGATAATGTTGCACATATACACCACGGAATACTAGCCAGCCATAAAAAAGAATGAGATCATGTCCTTTGCAGCAACATGGATGGAGCTGTAGGCCATTATCCTAAGAAAATTAACACAGGAACAGAAAACCAAATACCCCATGTTCTCACTCATAACTGGGAGCTAAACTTTGCGTACATATGAACACAAAGAAGGGAACAACAGATACCAGGACCTACTTGAGCGTCGAAGGTAGGAGGAGGGAAAGGATAGAAAAACTACCTATGAGGTACGATGCTTATTACCTGGATGACAAAATACTCTGTACACCAAACCCTTGCAATATGCAATTTACCTATATAACAAACCTAAGATAAAACTTA